GCTATTAAAAGTTTCTTTCTGCCTGTGGCCTGTAAATTGAAGTGACTGGGAATCTGGTAATTGACTGTCTAGTGAGATTGTAAAATTTAAATTCTCTACCCCAAACTAAATTTTTTTTTACAGTGGCAGAGACTCATGAAACTAGGCAGGAGAACAGATTGGAGTACAAGACTGGCCTGGCCGCTGAGGCCCTGCTGTGAACCTCTTTATCTGTGGGACTAATAGTTAAATATGCTCAATGTGAAGATGCAGCTGGAGGGAAGCAGCAGGGTTATATTGCTCAATTCGATTATTGCTTTCAAATGTCCTCATGCAAGAGCAGAGGCCTACATTCCAGGGTCAGTGAAAACAGGGCAAAGTGCAGAAAGACAGCAAGGAGACAGAAAATTTGAGACACAGAGATACTGTCTGGGTAAGATCTGTGACTACAGTTTCTATGGAGTTAACCAGAAACAAGTAAACAAAATGCTACATTACCAGAAATATCTTGAAGTCAGCCAACAACATCCTACTTGGTCAACCCTTGGTCACAAGTTGCCTGTACTTGTCCCTTCAGAAAGTAAACAGCTAAAGACTTGCATCTTTCAGAAAAGGCATCCTTCCTCTTAACGCCCATCTCAGATGTGCCAGCAGAGAGCAATGGTCAGGCTACTCCTTTGTTGTTGTTCAATCAGGACTGTCCATAGATTGTACACAGACCACTGTACACAGTGGCCCAGCGCATGAAGCAGGCACCTCATGGTCCACCAGAGCAAGACATGTGCTGTGAAGCAGCGAGCTTGGGCTGCTACTCCATTCTCCCCTCTTCTTCCCAAATGAATAATAGTAACCCTTGTTTTCACCACTATACTCATATATACATATAAAAGGGTTGGAGCAGACGATTACTGACTTAATATTTAACTTTATAGATTTCTGGACCAAGAAGAAGATAACGGTTGAGGAATGTTGAACTTTGAGCCACATGAAGGATCTGAATGAGGCTTTGTGTTTATCGCCTTTGGGAAGGAAGAAGAAAGACATTCACACTTTAGAAGTCACATTCATGTGAAGGTGTTCTCAGTTGTTAGGTAGCCATGGGAGACATTCCTAATTGCCAGTGTGGCAGTGAATCCCCTCCCCATGGTATTTCCTAATGAAATCTCAGTTTTAGTCTAGGTATTTAGTTCTTCAAAAGGTCTACACATGTTTGCATCAGTCTTAGCCAACCCATGTCAAATTTAGTGTTGGTTGCATCAGCACCCAGAGCACAGCATTCCTCTAGGAAGTTGTCTTAGGGGTGAGCACATGTCCTAAGTAGACCCAATTGGACAGAAGAGGTGATTTCTTCCTTCTGCCCACCCATGCATTCCTCTCCTTCACTCTATCATATATTCCTTCTATTGGAAGCTATCTTTTACACCTGAGTAGTCAGTTTATTTACAAATAGATGGAGAAAAACACTGCAAAGAAAAGGAAAAGAAATTAAGCCAGAGCCATGAGGCTTATGTTGTATCTGGACTTTTGTTACTTGAAATATTAAAATTCCATATTATCTACAACTAGTAAAATTGGGGTGTCTGTGAGTTTCATCCAAGTATTCAAGTGCAAGATTTTGAAACTCTGAGGCTAATACTGTAAAGGTAAAAAAGAGACAAAGACATGAGTTTTGTTATACCTGGATCTAACTGGGCTTGAGGTTGGAGCTGGAACTGAGCTTCAGGTTGGCAAAGCATATGTAATTTCTTTCAATGCATCAACTATAAGATAAGATTCCTCTAGAATCCTAAGAGAAGCTAGCTATAGCTGAGAACTCTGTAGTCAGTTCAGAAAAGAAACTGGGTAAAATATTGATGATCTTAGAAAAACAACCCAAAGTTATTTTAAGTCTTAAGTAGCGCCACATAGTAAGCACACACTTCTCTGAACATCCAAGCTGATGATCATTGATGTCTTCAACTAGGACTTCATTCATTATCTCTAGCTGAAACTGGCCATCTGTATACTCTGATAGGACTTCCATTAATCCTGGATATTTTTCCCAGCACCTGGCATTTGTCACCAGTGTTTCTGGTCCTAGGATATCCATATAACCCTCCCAGGGAAACAAAGAGATTTTAACCTGAGAAAAAATCAATTATAAATGTACCACATGTTGGACCTCAAAGCCTGATTTAACATTGATTATAAAGCTAAGGGGGAGAGGTGGATTTTTGGAAGAGTCATGTTGCATGTGGAAGGCCACTATTTAAAATTAAGCAAGAAATCCTGGAGAGAAAAAGAATTACAAATCTTTTAAATGGTTTCATGGAAATCTTGAATAGCTTTGACTATTAGAAAGGTTTTCCTGTCCCATTTGTTAAGTAACAAAGTGTGAAGAAATGATAAATCTGATTAGTCATGCTTGTCTAGCATTCATCTACAATCTGAAAGGATAAGAACATCCAAAACTTCAATCACTATTGTTTCCAGTGCTTAATTGGTAAAAAAAAAAAAAAAAAATTCCACTCTCCAAGGTTGTTCTGAGGCAGTGGTATTCAGGAATTCTGAAAACCCAGCCAGGAGCCCAGGGGCCAGAGAGAAAAGCAAAGGCATTATTCTGAATATTGTCAAAGGTGGCTTTCTTTTCACAACCTAAGTTCAGATGCTCCTTGGCTGTTGGTGAACCACCTGGTGCTCACAGACCAATGTGGGGCAGCAGAAAACCGTTTCCATGGTGATGAGACTTTCCTCCTGGCAACCACCCTCCCATCTTTCTCCACTGTGGGTTGTTTACAGGGTTTCTGAGAAGAACAGCGATAGCTATACTTGTGCAGTTCTGGATGTCCGTAACCAGTGGCTGAACCTCCCCGTCCACACGTGGAGATGGTCACAGACGCTTTAGAAGCCAACCAGAATCATCTCAGATTCAAAACACTTCATCTACTGCCTTTTCCTCAATATCTCAGTACATCAACAGACACTTCCCTGGGTCGGGGGTTGGCACCTACAGCCCAAAGATCAAACCCTCCTGTTTGTAAGTAAAGCTGTATTAGAAAACAGCACCACTAATCCAGAATCTATGGCTGCTTTTATGGCCCAGTGTGAGAGTGGAGTAGTCAACAGGAGAAATAAAATGGTCCACAAGCCTCTAAACGAAATTCTATTTGGTCCTTTACAAAAAGAAAAAAAAAATGTTTGTCCATGCCTGCCCTAGGTAAACCAACATATGCTAATAGTGCAAAGGATAAAATAGGTACCTACAATAAAAGGTAGTAAACAAAGGGAACAAAAGGATACTATCACGACTCCCATGAGCCGCGGAGGAACAGAACCACCTGAGATGAACCTAGAAAAGGTGAAACCGAATAGCTAGGAAGCCCTGGGATATACAAATTTGCAGTGAGGATAAGCATCCTAGGTGAGGTGCCGAGGGCACGCAGAGGCTGGTGGAGTAACTTACCCGCACTTACCAAAGCAGCTGACGTGGGCTAGGACCGTGCAAACATAGGCGCTGCCCTCACCGGGGCGCAAATTCACAGTGGCAGGAGGGGATCTGTGAATAGCAAGACATGAGGTTAATGCCAACGCTATGCAGGCTTTTGTAATTCAAGCAATTTGTGCAGAATAAGAACTCACTAAACTGGAAACTGATTTGATCGGAACTTTGTAAAACGCAAATTTGGAAAATCAGATGAATAATGAACTACAAATCCCAGTAGACCGGGAACCAAGTTAACAGCTGTCCTCTGAGTCGTTTTTATTAAATGCCAAGTGCGGGCCCTCCCTGGTGGCGCAAAGTGTTAGGACACAGCACTACAAGCTGGCCGCAACCGCTTCGGTGAGAGTTGGATCCCCCGCCCTGGAGGTGACCCACATGGCGTGGCAGACCTCTCCTGCCCGCCTGCTGCTCCCCTCAGCAGTGTACTTCATCAATCTACTTGTTCTGCTCTCCACTCTGTCTCTGATGAATCCTCTCACCACCCCTGCATCTCTGGCTTGTACCCCAGCTCTGTATGCATAAATAAATAAATCTTAAAAAAAAAAATGCCAAGTGCTACTCCAAGAACTACTAGTTTTCATCTATCAACTCACTTGCTCCCTCTAACAATCCCATGGGCTAGGTATGGTCATCGTTGCCGCTTTATAGGAAAGAAACCTCTGGATAAGAGAGGGTAAGTAGCTTGCTCAGTGCCCTACATTTATACTGTGCAAAGCGATGATTTAAATCAAGGTCATCAAACTCAGACTCCATTTTCTATAATCACTTGCAAGATTGTTACAAGAGTATAGAAGAAAGGTGAGACAAATTCACTTAGCCTGTTGCAATGGCATACACGCGATGCTCCATCAGTATATTTGATGAGTAAATGACAGATGAAAGAAAAGAAAACCATAAATGCAAAGAACATTTTGGGAGAAAAGTCAGTGGCAGACAGGCCCTATCAAAGATCTGACAGAGAAGGGGACATCAAACATAATCCTAATGGCTCCTTTCAGGATGGCTAGAAGAATGATGACATGGACACAGAAAAAAAAAAAAAGAGAGAGAGAGAGAAGGAAAATTCAGCTCTGGGGAAAGGTGGCAAATTCAATTTGGGATTAAACAGATGATGGATTTGATGAGATGGCAGAGCATCCAAGTGGAAACCCCAGCATGCCCCTGAAGTGTAGAGCCAGAGCCCGGGGGGAGCAGAGTCAGGGCCACAAAGCTGGTGACTGAGCAGCGTGGAAGTCATGAGAGGAGCAGAATGTCTCTCCCGCTGATGGGAAAAATGAAGTAATGTTCACTCGTGACATACATAATAAAACAAAGAAAACCATCACATGATGCAAGGGGCCAAGTGGGACTTGTGAAGGAACATGGGCTGCCTCGAGAGGAAATAGAGAATATGCAATACTTAGTGCCTCTGCATGCCAGGTGCTCGGATCCTGCAGGCTTTGCTCACAGTGAGGCTGAAGTAGGGCATGGGGCCTCCCCAGAGAGTGGAGCAGGCAGATTCAACAGCATAAATGACTTACAGAAGGACACCAGAGTCATGATGCCAGGACTTCAGCCGGAATCTACAGCCCCAAAGCCCACACTCAGGAACTTCCACTGCAGAAGGGTCCTGCCACGTGTTTCCCTAAGTTTCCAAAGCCCCCTGGAGTCAGAAGATATCTCACTTAGTGAGCCTTGCACCTAATAGGATAAATAAATCACTTGTCACTGCTTCCAGCTCTTCTCCATGGTGTTACCACTAAAATGCTCATTTCATACCAGTTGTTGAGGAAATGTGCAAAAGTGATCCTAATCCATTGAAAACCCACCAATGACTTTGCCCTAGTGGTCTTCATACCTAATTTCTGCAAGAGTAGACTGGCCCTAGGGAAGATGGCAGCCATCGAGGACTGGATCCTGAACTTTGCCTCTGGAAGTCACATTCTCCAAATGCTCAGTGTTTAATATAAAGACATATAGCTTGTGACAACAAAGATGAATATGCTAGTTTATTTGTAAATATGGAGGAAAGAAAGACCCAAAAAAGGCCAAAAAATGATATTTTTTTCACTGGCTTTGCTTACATCAACATATAATCAAAATTTGTATTTAAATTCCACATTAAAACTGCTTTGTAACTGTATGGATTCTCTTAAATGTATGTTTTTAAATTCCCTTTACTTTTCAGATCAGCCAATCTCACAGATTTTTTTGGAATAAATTTCTTCTTTGATACTCTCATTTTGTAGTGAAGTCACACTGACTCACTGCATATCCCAAATCAATAGATGGCTTCTACAAAGAGCATTTTTGACAACTCTAAGGAAAGAATTAAGGGAAACCTATCCAGAGACTGAGACTCAAGTCTGAATGTCTCTCCAGAAATACTTTGTCTGTGGACAGTCATATTAGCAATAATACTGTGTAAGTGCTTCCTTCTAATAGCAAATGAAACCAGGGAACAGGAACTATTTTAACAGGCAGCTCATTGCTTCAGATGCAGAGCTGTTCTCCAATTTGTCTTGAAATCTCAGATCTTTGAGCTGTGCAAAAGTGCTAAAAGCACCTGCATTGGCATTTCTTGAACCTAATTGCCCTCCTTGAAAAAAGGATCTAGCAGAAAGCGAAGAGCTTTTTATATCTCTATGTTAGGAGGTGTGATTCCGGTATATCTAGGACACAATGATTAGCCACAGTGTTAAGGGTCTATCAGACAGATACTTGAGAATATTAACACATTTCCTACCAGTCACGAAAGCCCTTACTATTTAATGGCTGCTCCATGTATGAAGTGAGTTAATGGGGGGGAGGGGTGAGTAGGAACATCATGAGAACAGTTGTGATTCTAGGGGCCCAGGCTTGTGTCTATCAAAAAAACTCACTTGATGATCTTTAGGATTTCAAATCTCTGCTTATTCCAGAATACATGCTCTAGTTTCTAGGCTTTTCTTAGAGGAGGGATAGTCATTTTGTGACATACAAGAGCCCTCTTTCTTTCCCTAATGATTCTTGCAGGCATCTACCCGATGTACTTCTTCTCTTCATTTAAAAACTCAACATTGCCTCTTTGGGGTGAACTTCCCTGCCAACCCCACCAGCATAGTGACCCCATTTTTTCATCTTCTCTCTGAAAACATTATATAGTCTTCTATTAGATTTCTCACTGCTTTTTGTGCTGGCATATGATTGTACTGAGTTAAGATGATCTTAAATTCAATGACAATGTCCATATAAGAGATATGAGAGGACAAACAGAGGAATACACAGCAAAAATGTTCATGTGAATACAGAGGCAGAGACTGGATTGATGCTACCACAAACCAAGCAACACTAAGAACCACCAGGAAGATTCTCCCCAAGAGCCTGAGAAAGTGTGCGGCCCAACAGACACCTTGATTTTGGACTTCGGATCTCCGCAACAATGAAAAAACAAGTTTTTGTTATTTTATGCCACCAAGTTTGTGGTGATTTGTTACAGCAACCCTAGGAAACTCTCCCTGGAAACCGACTTCTTGTCAACCCCCCTGGTTTAGTGTCTGGGCAGCCATGTTGGGACCACAAAGCTCTGTTCCCTCACTTCTTGCGCTCTTCACCATGCTAGGCACAAATCAAAGCTAAACCAACATTTTTTTCCTAGGAGACAGTAAGAGAAAATGTTCTTTGACCATTCCTGTATCTCATTCAAGTTTCTGTCCAAAGAAAATCATCTCATAAGCACATTCCCTGACATCCTACCTAGAATTCTTCTCATGCCTCTAAAGCCATCACTCATTTTGCTTTTCTTTGTGTAGAAACAGAAAGCATGCTACACTGGAAGGTAGAATCCCTCCATTTCATCAAAGTCTATAAATATTTATGTGACCTTGGGAGGGAAAGCAACCTGGATGTCAATGGAAGGAGGAAGTATTTTTGACATGATGTGTTAAATGAGGATCAACAAATGATCATGTCTTGCACACCTGTCAGACAGGGCTTCTCCTACCATGCCTACGACATTACTGAACTGTGACTGAGCTCTCAATCCTATTTTCTTGGTTCCTTTTAAACCAAAACAGATGACTTGGGTCTCTATTCTATACACATTTAAGATAATATCCTGCTTCTGCCATGCTCTCACATCTCAGCAGCTTGTTACAGGAGCCAATTCAGATCATCACCCTTTCCATCATTAGTAGAAAATGAGATAACAAGCATGAGGGAAGCAATGGGGAAGTAGATATAATACATGAGATGTGTATTCATGGGTTTGATGGAGGTGGTCTTCATGGCATCTCAGGACAATCCGTGTTCCACTCAAAAATACTGACAGCTTTTACCAAAGAAAAATTTACCTGAAAATATATTAGATTCCCTCTCAAAAGATGTATAATTCTTCTTCCCTTGCATCTCCTAAAAAGATTAATGAAATAAGATAATGCACTCCAAGAACCTATGGCACTGCCTAACACAAGATAGAAGTTTGGAAATTAAGTTGTTATTTTAAAGACTGAAATATGCAAGCATCAAAGTTCTGGTGTCTTAAGGATAAAATCAGTGTGGAATAAATCCAGTCCATGCCACACTAACCATTGCCCATTGCTTATTATAGAAACAGGTCAGCAGCCCACTTTAAGGCGGTAGGTTGTCAGGAAGCACAAAGGCTGGACACAGAGGAAAGAAGCAAGAAGAAAAGAGACATTTTCTCAAATCCATGGAAACTAGACTTACATAAATTTCATTATACAATTTGTCATTGCTACAGACTCATCGACTATTTTCAGCTTTATTTTGCTTTTGCTTTAAGACAAAAAAAAAAAACATCTTGTGGCTGCAAATATGAATTAGGACACTCACCCACCTGTCTCCTTCACCTGAGCTCTCCCACCCTAGCGTGTCTGTCGCCATTTGGAGGTTCTAAATCCATCTCTGGAGTTCATGGGAGGTCAGTGTGATGGTGACCCCTCCCCATGGGTCTGATTTCAATAAGGGCATTAAAAATTGAAAATCAACATTCACATGTTACTGAATTGCTTCAAGGAGGGGTGAAAATGTAGCAGCTCTTATATATATAAGTGAAATTGGTTTTGATACCCAGGTCTTCATGAATAGAAACTATACTTCTTTCTATCATGAAAAACACCTCAAGGTTAGAGGGAAAGTGGTAAATTTGTGCCTTGAATTTTGGTCACTAGGACTCTAAGACTGAAACTCACCCTGCAGTCCAGCCCCCACATATCATGTAGCAATCAGACTTGTGCCTTTCTTAGAGATTTTTTATTTTTTATGTTTATTTTTATATTTTTTAACATCATTTTAAAATTTTTGTACATTGTGAGCTCTTCATCTCGGTGCAGTGCCCATGAAGTTCCCACCCCCAGTTCACCCATGCACCATCACCGTAGCTCCTTGTACTCATCCCACCCATTTTGAACTTACTCCCCTCTCACCCTGCAGAATGTCTCGGGTTTACATTTATCTGTTACTTTTGTTATTTACTTTATTATAAATCCCCCACCCCCTGCCGCCGCCCCGATCCCTTATTTGGATCATACATTCCTCCTAACTCTCTATGGAAGCCAGGATTTCCTTAGCCACTCATGGGTGGGTTTTCAGCAGTGTCCTGTTGCAGTAGCTTACAGGGTCAATGGTGGGAATCTCTTCCTCTCTCTGCATTCTGTATTAACACATTGGTAGCTTCAAGTCAGCCAAAACAGGGAATATTTACACCACAGAAAATTACAAATGTCATCAGGACGTTTTGTTTAAAGACAGATGTGATGAAACAATTATGAGCACAGAACTGATTATACAAAAAATGAGTGGTAGAATCACAAGGATGTCTTGTACTCATGAAGAAGAGAATTAGCAATAGATTGGAAAATGGGGGGAAAAAAGAGGTGATAGATGTCTCAGTTGCATGGATACTATGGAGGTGGGAGAAATACAGAAACTACACTTAAGGGGAGAAATCAAACAAGTACAAAAATGAACAGTGATGAAAGAAAATATGTAAACAAAAGTAATGATTAAAAAAAAAGTTTGTATAAAGGTGGGGGAGAGCCCAGGTCAAAGAATACTGCTGTTTATCTTTCCTTGAATAACTGGTACCCCCCCCCACCTCCCACACACACACTGTAGGGTCCTCCCAGTCCCATTCTTATCTGACATATTCATTTGTATATTCTCACCTGAAACTTCTTACCAGTCATCTACATAAAGACATTTGTAAAATCCATAGAGTTGGCCCTCCCTGGTGGCGCAGCGGGTTAAAGCACAGCATTAAGAAGCTTAAGCCACCTCTGCATGAGTTCAATCCACGCCTGCCCCAGAGGAGATCCACTTGGCGAGGCAGACCTCTCCTGACCCACCCGCTGCTCCCCTCAGCAGTATACTTCGTCGATCTGCCTGTTCTGCTCCCCACTCTGTCTCTAGTGAATCCTCTCACCCTCCGCATCTCTGGCCTGTAACCCATTTCTGTATGAATAAATAAATCTTAAAAAATAAATTAAAAAAAAATGCATAGAGTTCACCTTCTGAAGCTGTGCTCAGTAAAATGTGTATAACATACAGTATTTCAGTGTAATACCACATACTTGCAAACTGATTTGAATTTTAATTTAAACAAAAAAAAATCTTTATGAAGCAATATCAATCATTCATTTTTATTTTTTTCCTATGACCTGTAAAGAACTATTCATCTTTATGTCAA